GCCAGGCGGGTAGTTAATCACTTTAACTACAAACAATCACGCTTAAGCTACATAATCTTTACTCCCTGGAATGGAGATAAGAAACACCCTAACCTTTGAAATAGAAATTGACAGGATTAAAATCAACTGGTATAAATACAGATGTAACAAGACAACGAGACACAGAACCAAGGGACAGAACCTAGCAAGAAAACATGGCTAGAGAACCTGGCAGAAGAACCTAGAGACAGAACCTAGAGACAGGACTTGGCTGGAGATCCTACACAGAACCTAGAAACAGAACCTAGCAAGAAAACATGGCTAGAGAACCTGGCAGAAGAACCTAGAGACAGAACCTAGAGACAGGACTTGGCTGGAGATCCTACACAGAACCTAGAAACAGAACCTAGCAAGAAAACATGGCTGAAAACCTAGACACAGAACCTAGAAACAGAACCTAGTGAGAGAACCCAAAGACAGAACCTAGAGACAGAACCTAGGGAGAGAACCAGAACCTAGCAAGAGAACCTGGGGAGAGAACATGGCAAAAGATCCTGGACAGAACCTGGCTACAGAACTTGGCTGGAGAACCTAGAAAGAACATGGCAGGAGAACTTGGATAGAACCTGGCTGGAGAACCTGGCGACCAGAACCTGGCAAGAGAACCTAGACAGAACTTGGCTGGAGATCCTGGAGGGAGAACCTCGCTATGCTGATCAACTGAACGCTGACCCCGTGCCATTCCTTCTTCGCCGACTCCGTCCACACCTTTGGGGACCCCTGGACCCGCTGGGGTTGGACCCCAGCAATTACCCCATTTTATAGAAACTGGTTTGGAAGTTTAGTGACTTGCCCCAAATCTCACAGTTGGTAAATTGTAAATTCGAATGTCACCAAGCCTTGTTTTCCAGAACTGCGTGGCCTCGAAGTAGAGACTTCAGGTTCCAGAACAAAGCTCCCTTTACACTTGTTTCTCCCCAAAGCCCAGACCATTTTGTTACTGGTTTCTCAGTTAGCTCCACTGATCATTTAACTTCCTTCGGGTCAGACACAATGGAAAAGGGCCTGCTGAGCATCCTCACCGGCAGGCCAGAGCTGGGGCCCAGGAGGCGGGAGGTCAGGGAGGGGGCACACTGGTCAGTAAACACAGACGGACTGCTGTGCACTCAGGAGACACAAAAGCCCAGTGCAACCTGTGGGTCTTACTGTGATCCTGATTCCAACAAGCTAACTGTTAAAAGCAAATAAAAAAATCTTTGAGACAACTGGAAAAATTCTAAATATGAACTGGGTGTCCTATATAATAAAAGCCTAATATGCTAAGTGTACGGTCATCCGTCCAACCAATCAAAGTGTAATACGCTAATGATATGCTAAGGATGCTCAACTGCTCACTATGATGTGCACTGACCACCAGGGGGCAGACAGATGACTAGTCAACCAGTCACTATGATGTGCACTGACCACCAAGGGGCAGACCCCAGCAGGTTAGCTTGCTGCTGGGGTCTGGCCAATCAAGACTGAGTGAGACAGGCTGGACACACTCTGGAGCCCTCCCGCAGCCCCGATTGTGCACTGGTGGGGTCCCTCAGCCTGGCCTGCACCCTCTCGCAATCCAGGACCCCTCAGGAGATGTCGGAGAGCCGGTTTTGACCCGATCCTGCAGGCCAGGCTGAGGGACCCCAGATTCGTGCACTGGGCCTCTAGTTAGGGAATATTATGAGATTTAATGTACAATTGTTAAGTATGATATTGACATGATTGCTTTAAAAAAAAAAGGAAAAGAAGTCTTTGAACCCATACAAGAATGCCCCATACCAAAAAACCCGTAATTTCTGATAAAGGTACAAATGGAATTCAATGGAGGAAGGGAGCTTTTTGACAAGTGGTGCTTACCAGTTGGACAGCACGGGTAAAATAATGAACTCAGCCCAGCCTGTGTGGCTCAGTGGTTGAGCATCAACCCAGGCACCAAGAGGTCACTGGTTCTATTCCCAATCAGGGCACATGCCCCGAGGTTGTGGGCTTGATCCCCAGTAGGGAGCGTGTAGGAGGCAGCTGATCAATGAGTCTCTATCATCATTGATGTTTCTATCTCTCCCTTTCCCCTCCTCTCTTTCTAAAAATCAATAAAACATTTTAAAAAATAATAATGAACTCAATGCAAACCTCATGCCTCATAAAAATTTACTCAAAAAAGATCAAGGACTAAAATGTAATACATCTATTCTTACAACTAGTTGATCACAGCCAGTTATAGATTTCTTTGTTCCTTCTCCACTCCCACTGCTTCACTTGACTAGCCTAAAAAACAAACAAACAAAAAAAGGAATATTATACAGAAATCCAACAGCAGACTAGAGGATTGCAAGAATCAAGTCAAAGATTTGAAATACGAAGAAGCAAAAAACACCCAACCGGAAAAGCACAAAGAAAAAAGTATCCAAAAATATGAAGATAGTGTAAGGAGCCTCTGGAACAACTTCAAGCATACCAACATCCGAATTATGGGGGTGCCAGAAGAAGAGAGAGAGCAAGATATTGAAAACCTATTTGAAGAAATAATGACAGAAAACTTCCCCTACCTGGTGAAAGAAATAGACTTACAAGTCCAGGAAGCACAGAGAACCCCAAACAAAAGGAATCCAAAGAGGACCAGGCTCAGGCCAGGCTGAGGGACCCCACTGGTGCACAATCGGGCCGGGGAGGGACCGTGGGAGGGCTCCAGGGCATGTCTGGCCCATCTCCCTCAGTCCAGATCAATCGGCTGGACCCGAGCAGCAAGCTAACCTACCGATTGGAGCATCTGCCCCGTGGTGGTCAGTGCACGTCATAGCGAGCAGTTGAGCCGCCTTAGCATATGACTGGTTGTTTGGTTGTCCTGCCATTCGGTCTATTTGCATATTACCCTTTTATTATATAGGACTAGAGGCCGGGTGCATGAAATTTGTGCATGGAGTGGGGGTGGGGTCTCTCAGCCTGGCCTGTGCCCTCTTGCAGCCCGGGAGCCCTCGCTCCTTACCGCCTGCCTGCTTGCTGCTCCTTACCGCTCAGCTCGCTGCTCCTTAGCGCTGCTGCGGAGGCGGGAGAGGCTTCCCCACCACCATACACAAGAACCTGGAAGGCTCCCACTCCTGTGGAGTAAAAACAGCCAACCTCGCCTGTCTGGGGATGGCTCAGTGGTTGAGCATCAACCTATGAACCAGGAGGTCACAGACCAATTCCCGACGAGGGCACATGCCCGGGTTGCGGGTCTGATCCCCAGTGGGGGCTGCATGTAGGAGGCAGATGATCAATGATTCTCTCTCATCATTGATGTTTCTCCTTCTCTCCCTCCCTGAAATTAATAAAAATAAATTAAAAAAAAACAAATAAAAAAGCCAACCTCAAAAGATTACAAACTTTATTATTCCATTTACATAACATTTAAAAAATAAAATTATAGAGGTGGAGAACAGAGCAGTGGTTGCCAGGCATAGGGTGGGGAAGGAGGTGGATGTCATTCTAAAGAGAGAGCCTGAGGGAGCCGTGTGGTGATGGACATGTGTACTTTGACTGTGGGGGTGGGTGCCTGAATCTACACATGACAAACTGCATAGAACCACGCACAGAGAGGAAAGGTAAAATCTGAATAAACTCTGTGGGTTGTACCAATGTCGATTTCCTGGTTTTGATATTGCATTTATATAAGATTCTACCGCTGGGGGAACTGGGTGAAGGGTACATATGACCTCTCTGAAATTTTTTTCCCCCCAGCATCCTGTGTTTCTTATAATTATTTCAAAAATTAAAAAAAGTCTATCAGAGATGCGTAAGGACATATTTACAGCTTAAATGATATAGGTCTTGGATGAGTTTTTAAAAATACTCTAGGCAGGAAAAAGTAAAGGAAAAAAAGTGAGAGAAATAGATGAAACCGAATCGAAAAAAATGGTAAGTGTTAAAGCTGGATGAAGAATTAAACAGAGAAAATATATAAACTTTCCTCTCTAATTTTGGGTTTGAAAATTTCCAAAATAAAGTTTTAGACAGTTCCCAGCGGTACCTAGTCAACAGAAGGGCTAAGCCTCACTTGTCTGTTTACAGCCTTCCTCAATGCTATGACTTTTGAATACAAATTAAGTTCAAAGCTTATAAAATTGTTTCATTATGAAGGTTTCCTCATGACCTTTTAATAAGACCTCACAAATCACACTCTTCATCTGGCTCTGTCTACTATTTATTCCCTCCAAGAATTTCCCCCAAATTATAAAAAATAGAAGTTTGTAAGTATACATTGAGAACATGCAAAGTTCTTACACAATAACTCAGCTTGTCCAACCATCTCCCAGCGTCTCATCCAGAACAGAATCACAGCAGCGCAGCCTCAGACAGCCCCGCAGCAGAAATGGCGACTCCTTTCCAAATCCCACCTTCTCTCTTAGGCACTAGGTTTGGATGGTAACAGCAAGAGAGGAACTGCAGGAACAATGACTGGGACGAATGCTCCCAAGAGCCGTGAAGACAGCAAGCTGGGAGGTTCCTCCTGCCTCGGCCACGACGCACACTCAGAACTGGAGTCAAAATCAACAGGCCAAGGATCGCCAACAGCCGATCACAAACTCCCAGGGTCGGCACAGGCCACCCAACTGCTTTCACCTGGAAAAGCGTTTGTTCACCACAAACCTGAAAACCGTTACTTGGCCCAGAGCTGGGAGTCCACTTCTCACTGGGATCCCCCCTTAAGTTCCTCACAGGCAGCTCTTTCCTTCCGGGTGACGAGACAGGGTGCCCTGGGGAACAGTGAGGCCGGACGCATGTGGAGCCTACTGCCAAGTCACCAGGTTTTTGAATTGGACTCATGGAGGTTAAGAGATGACTGTGGGCCTGCCCAGTTGAGAGTTGATCCATGCACCAAGAGGTCGCTGGTTCGATTCTAGGTCAGGGTACATGCTGGGATTGCAGGATCAGTTCCCCAGTAGGGGGCATACAGGAGGCAGCCAATTAATGTCTCTCATCAATGTTTCCATATCTACCTCTCCCTAAAAAAAGAAAATCAATAAGAAAATTTTAAATAAAAAAATAATTAAAAAAAGAAAAAAAAAAGAGAGAGATGACTGTGGAAGCCAAGTATAAGAAGAGTTCAATACAATTCCAGGGACGCCTCATTGCTACTGTGTAAACTTCTGGGTTCACTGGCACTTTTCTTCCTTAGACTTGGTTTTTCAACCTCTGCTTTCAGAGACCAGCCAAAGGGTATCAGCTTGCCCACCATCTTCCTTAAACACCTGTGTTTTGGTCTGTAGGGGTCAGGACGGATGAAATCTCTCCTCAGGATGCAAAGAGGTTGAAGAGATTCAGATCTGCTTCTGGAAGAACTCCTTGGCCTGGCCCGCCGGCTTCCGCCGCATGGCTTCCTTCTGTGCCAGCTTCCAGCAGACCCAAGAGGCTCTCTGCTCTCAGCAAACAAGGCCATCCAGCCCTCAAGACCCCACCCCCTCCCCCAACCCGGCCGCAAAGCCCTTTCCTGTTGTTTAAGGTCGGATTCCTCCAGCAAGTCACAGCATAATATATCAAGCAGAGGCTCTTGTCAGAGAAAACTTTTCCTGGATGGGGCAGGACTCAGTCGTCCCAAAGCACACATTCCACAGAGCGACAACAAACACCAACCTCTCACAAGAGGGCACTGCCTTGTAGGAAGAGTCCACCAAATGCGATGAGAGAGTCGGTGCGCATCACCCTCCTCCACGTGACACACCTGCTCTCTCCTCCTGACTCCTGCGGCCCAGGTCAAGGAGTGACATGTGGGAAGGCAAAGTCACCTTCGTCATCTCAGCAGGGCGCTTGGAGCCCAGGTGAGAAGAGAAATAAGACTGAGGTTCTAGGGTGAGAAACTGGTGTTACAGGTTGTTTCTGAGTCAATAAAGGGACCCGGACGGCCTGAAACGGACGCCAGGCAAACAGTCCTCTGGAGGAAGCAAAGGAGGTGCAGCCCCTTCTTTCTGCTGCCTTCCTGGTCTCGCGGGTTCAAAGGAGTCAGGTCCTGTGATAATGAATGAAGTCGCCAGCTGCTCCTACGCCCACAGTCCAGCTGGGCTAATTAAGAAAGCCTCCACATCATATTATTACCACCACATCATATCTTCCTCAACCCAGACATCGGTGAAAATGGGAAATATTAACACAGAGTTTGCTATTAAAAGCATGCCCAGTCATCCCAGCAGCCTCGGCTGGACCTTTCTGCTTCCCTCCAGTGGCTTTAACTCCACCCAGGAGCGTGGTGTCCGCATCTCTGTACAAGGCAGGCTTTCTTCTCAGCTCACGAGAGGGACCTAAAAAGAAGAGGAATCCATGGAGCCTGTCTGATGGGGGCCCCCCTGCTCTCCTTCTAGGAGGCAATAACTCCAGGGCTGTGAGGGTTAGTCCCGGGGCTGCAGGAAGCTTAACCTCTATGCAACAAGAGGTACATGTGGCAGACGAGGAAGGAGAAGGAAAGGAATATTTCCTCTCACTCAAGTAGCTTTCCCCGAGGTTCAGACCCACTTTTCTGAAAAAGAAAGAGTGGCCTCTCCTTTCTGCCCTGAAGCAGAGAGGACTACCTCGGTTGGCCAGAGCGCCTCTCGGCACCCAGCTCCCAACTCACTTCTTCCTGCGGATCTTGGGTTTCTTCACGGGGCGCAGGTAGGGGTTATCGATGAGGCTCTCCTCCCCGTTCCGGCTCCCCGTCAAGGAGGAGTTCTGCTGCAGGACAGAGGTGTTCTCCTTCTCGGCTCCAGAGTCATCCTTTGAGCAAAAGCCGAAATAAAGCAAAACACCAACGGCATAAGGAAAGCGATCAGCTCATGGCAGGAACTACTGTTAGCGCCCCTTTCCGGGGGAGGCTGGAAGCTCAGGGACCACTTCTTTCTAAAGGGCCTCCGATGAAACGAGGCCCAGGCAGCACTGGCCATCAGAGGTGACCAACGGCTCCGACGTGGAGCACAGAACACAGAACCCTGAGCTCTGGACAAGACAGGGCATGAGTTAGAAAGAACAGCGACCTGGGAGGGGCAGAGGTCTGGGGCTAAAATTCAGGTGCTCAAGAAGGAAGCCCCACCTGTGGGGAGGTGAAGAAAAAGGGAAATGGGCCTCCACCCTTGGCAGGACTGAGACGGGGTGAGAACAATCCCATGCAGAGGCCTCTCCTGAACCAAAGCTGACATAAAGCGTCAGAGATGCCCCCCCAGATTCTCAAGTTTTCTGGTACTTGCAACATGGTACCAATGATCACATTACAGCAGAGCCTCGAGGGTTCCCACCAGGCAGAGCAGAGCGTGCTGGCACCAATGCGGGAACGTCATCTATACCCCCACTGCCACCTGGGGATCAGGTCTCTCAGGTTTGGTTTGGTTTTTTTTCATGCCCTTGACCGGAATCGAACCTGGGACCCTTCAGTCCGCAGGCCGACGCTCTATCCACCGAGCCAAACCAGTCAGAGCATCAGGTTTGGTTTTTGAAGACAGTGATTTTGCAGAAAAGTTCATAAATTTACAAATATTCCGTATGACCCCAATTAAAATTCTTTAAAAAAATCACAATTGTGTGTAAACAGGAAAAAAGTAGTATGTTGAAGTTTAAAAAACTGGTTCTGAGAATATGGGTGATTGATTCTCCTTTCCTTACTTATACTCTCTTCTAAGTTCTGTAAAATGAGCATAGCAGAGGAAGGGGGACAAAATCACACGAAGAACTTGACCTACAAGTTCATTCCTAAGGGACTGTAAGTGACCAGAGGCGCTGGTGGGGCTGCGCCCCCTGGTGATGGGCCAAGGTTCTGTCACTGAGATTCCTGTTCTGTGGAGGCTCTGACTTCAACCAGAGCAGAGGACACTAGGATCAGATGGCAGGAAATGAACGGCAGGCTCTCCCCAGAGACCGCTGGCCCAGCAGGCAGGCAGGCAACAGTCAGGCTCCAGGAACCGCAAGAGATGGGTCACTTCTGGGTTCCGCTGCACGCGCTCACACTATCCATCTACTGTGTCCTCCCAGAGACCCTGTGCTTCCCGCTCCAACACGTGACCCGGTGGGACCGCGAGGTGACTTAGAGCCACCGTGGAGCTTCCGGAGGCTCTTCCGAAAGCGAGTGCCCAAGATCACCCTCGCTCACGCCAGACACCAGGTCTGACCACCACCAGTCCTGCCTGGGACGTTTGGCTCCTACGCTTTCTAAAGTTCTTTACGGCTTAATTTAGTAACCACCCCCTACCCACCTCTTATCATTTCTCCATGGTCAACACCTTATCTTAGAGTTACTGGACGTTCACTTCAGCTGTGCCTTAAGTGTTTCCTGAAATAAGGATGGAGGTGACAAGGGTGCTGAAAAGCCAGCCTCGACCTGCTGGAGGCCCTGAGGCTGCCTCCACCGGCTCACTGTCTCACAGGCTCCTGCCCTCACCTGCCTGCCGACCCCCAGGCTCACACAGCCACGGCCACTCAACATCTCCACTGGGGTGTCAGGTAGGCACCTCAACTTCGTGTGCCTAACACTGACCCCCGGCCCCCCCACCCCTCCCCGTGCCTAAACAGCCCTTACTGCAGCCCTCCTGGCCTTCCAGTTGTTCAAGCCGAACACTCCAGTCATTCTTAATTTTTTTCTTTCTCTGACATCTCACCTCAATCTGTAAGGAAAACTTCTTGGCCTTACTTCACATTACAGGCAGAATCTGACCACTGCCAGTGGCCCTATGTGACCATCCTGCGAGGACCCACCACTGTCCCTGGCCTGGACTACTATCTCAAACGCTTCCTAACTGACCTCCCTCCACAGTCCACAGTCCACGCTCTGCTGGCCCCGGCCACAGTCCCTTCTCCTCACCGCCGTCGGCGATCCTGGAAAAAGTTAGCTCAGACACGTCCCTCCGCTGCACCTGCCTCCCCCACTCCCATTTCACCCAGTTGAAACCCAGTCTTAAAGATGCTCACAAGGTCCTGGTGTGACTCTCCTCTCCCTCTCTCCTTCCTCAGCCACAGCCACACTCGCCTCTGTGCTGCTCCTCAGGGCCTCTGCACAGGCTGGTCCCTTTCCAGAACATTCTTCCACAGAGAGCCACCTGGCTCACTCCCTCACCTCCTCCAAGTCTCTGCTCAAACGTCAGTTCTCAGGGATGTCTACCCTGAGCACTCTAAGACTGAAACCTCCACCCTTCGCCCTGGACCTTCCCTCCCTGTCCCCAGTAGCACTTTAATAAACCACATAACGATGTACTTATATAGTCCAGCCGCTGTCACCCTCCCACTGCCAACTCACAGGCTCCTAAAAGGCGGGTGTGTTCTTTGTTCTGTTCACTGAAGGGTCCCAAGCTCTCAGAACAGTGCCTGGCACATGCCAGCAGGCACTAAATAAATAAATGACGGGTACAGTGCTCATGGGAGAGCAAACGTTTCGACCCTGGGATTAGCTGCTAGTTCAAATGGGAGAGAAAAGTAATTCTATTACACACTAATTTAAAATGAACAATTCCTTTATGTTCAAGTAGATGGAGAAACAAGGACTGGTTAAGTAAAAACTATGCAGCAAGAGAACTTGAGAGATATGCTGCCACTGACAGATGAAAGACCGATCTGAAATACCAGTTACTTAGTGAACTGTAGCAATGTGTGTGAATGCTAACAACAGAAAACCACCAATGTCCGCAGGGGCCTGGTTAAATCCACTTGTGCCTCCCTGGAACATGAGGAGGCTGAGCAGGGGTGAAGGCGCTCCTTTACACGGACATGGAATGACCGCCACGCTGCATGGATGAGGGCATTCAGCGAGGGGCAAACCACCTGTGACCTGCTGTTTGTGTTCGTGTCTCTAGATTCATGAGAAAGAGGCCAAAAAAAAAAAAAAAAAGAGGCCGGTGACTGGTTGCTTTGTAGTCGGGAAGGTGGGTAACAGGGCACGAGGACGAGAGAAAGAACTGCCACCACACATCTTTTTGTCCATTCTGAATTTTGAAACCCATGATTATACCAGTATTTGCCAGTCCAATAGAATAATAAATCCAACCGATTGCACATAACTCTGTTGCTAGAATCCTCTTCTTAAAGTCTTTCCACGTATTTTTTACAGGACAGCATGTGGTGGTACAGCCCAGGACAGCAGGGAGGGGCCATGGGGGCGGGAGCTGCCCTGGGCCAGGCACCTGTGTGTGAGCTTATTTTATCTCGGGCTCCCGCTTCCCCCAGAGCAGTGGTTCTCAACCTGGGCTGCACATTACAATCACCTGGGAATCTTTTTAAAATCCTGATTCCTGGGCCTCATCCTCCGGAAATTCTGTTTCTTTGTTACTAATGTTGTGGCCCCATCCTGTAACAAAGAAACAATTTCTGGAGGATGAGGCCCAGGAATCAGGATTTTAAAAAGATTCCCAGGTGATTGTAATGTGCAGCCAAGGTTGAGAACCACTGCCCTAGAGGGAGGTGCTCCTGCTCCTGTCTGTACCCGTGAGGAAGCAGACTCAGATGTTGGGTGATGTGCCTGGGGAGCAGCACGGTCTGGATTTAAAGCCAGACCAGTGCATGGGTTTGGATTGATGGCAGGCCTGTCCCCTGGGCCTCTCAGTGCCCCAGGCCAGAGCAAGCTGCGCTTGAACCATTGCCCGGCCTGTGCCTGTAGGCTGCAGGCACTGAAGCAGGTTGTACAGTGAAAAAAATAAAAATAAAAAGAATAAAGCCACACCAGTCTGACCCCAAGGGTCAGGTCTGTCTACTCTGCCATACGGCTTGGCGTCTCCGTGTCCAGGAGAGCGCAGGCAGCTCCTGGCATGATTTCAGCCTCGACTCACTCACCACCACCACCTCACCTATGTCATTACCTAGAGCAGTGATGGCGAACCTATGACACGCGTGTCAGAGGTGACACGCGAACTCATTTTTTTGGTCGATTTTTCTTTGTTAAATGGCATTTAAATATATAAAATAAATATCAAAAACATAAGTCTTTGTTTTACTATGGTTGCAAATATCAAAAAATTTCTATATGTGACATGGCACCAGAGTTAAGTTAGGGTTTTTCAAAATGCTGACACGCCGAGCTCAAAAGGTTCGCCATCACTGACCTAGAGTGTTAGATAACCTTCCGCAGGCCCTTTAACTACTTTGTACTTACAAAGGGAAGTGATGTTTGCTTAGAAGACCCCTCTTTCATGAGGTGAACCTCATCTCACCGTAAACGTGGGGAAGCCCATGTTTAACATAGCTTTTAAGATCTGACCCTAGCACCCCACCCCATGAGCTCTCTGACCGCATCCCTTCCTACTCTCCTCCCTGTTCATGCCACTCGGCCACCCTGATGGCCTTGCTGTTCTTCAACACAACAGCTCCCACCTCAGGGCGTTCGCACCTGCTGTTCCTCCTGCGAGGAATGCTCTACTCCCAGATGTGTAAGCTTTGTTCTCTTCAGGTCTTTACTCATATGCCACCCTCTCAGTCATCCTAAAACCACACTCCCCTGCGCCCATACCTACTTCCCATCTCTTAATTTATTACTTCATACCTTAGCTCCATGAGGGTAGGAAATTTTGTTGGTTTTGTCTCCTCCTAATTCCCCAGCACCTGGAACTGTGCCTGGCTCTGGCAGGCGCTCATTCAGTATTTATTGAATGAATGAATGAATGAAGCCCCAGGACAGCACTTGCCTCTAAGCTAGAGATCCCATCACACTCGGATCATCATGAGCCCATCTTGCAAGTCCCTAACATGAAGGCAGAGACCTGGGGTAGGTCATGTCCAGGTCCCAGGGTGACAGGCTGCGGGCAGTGTGGGCTAGTTTGGGGGCTACTCTGAGCAGGCAGAAGGCAGGACCCACCGTGCTGATATGAAGAGGGAGGTTCTCTGTGTCTGTCTGCTCATCCTGCTCTGAGGAATCCGTCTCTTCCATTTGCTGCATCTCCAGTTCGGATGGAAGAAGAGCCGTCAGGTAGGGGATGGTGAAAGGTCTGGCAGCAATCACTGTGGGATTGGAAGAGAGCAAATTCCACTGTCATGGAGTCCTTGCAGCTGGCTCAGGGCCTCACAGCAGAGCAGCACCCAATGACAATAATGGCTAACACACTCAAGCACTCACTATGTCCTACAGGCCTCACATGTACCATCTGAATCCACTGTAATGGCTAAGTACCATTACCAACCCCGTTTTACAGAGAAGGAACCTGAGATGCTGAGAGGTTAAGTGGCTTCCTCCAGCACACAGACAGTGGCAGAGTGGGATCTGAACTTGAGCAGTGTAACTTCAGAGCCCACTTTACCCGAGTCCTGCAGGACTAAAATCAGACAGAGCTGGGGCTGAATCCTAGTAAAGCATCAGCTTAGTGATCTCACACCTCGTTAACCCCTCTAAGCCTCATTTCTAGAGCAGAGATTTTGAGCCCATCAGTCTGAAGGATTTGAGAACTCCCTGCAGGTCAGTGTATCCACTGAGCTAGAGGGCACTTCAGGCACTTCCAAAAAGCACGGAGGAGGAGAAGAAATCGCTGATGAAATAAATAAATAATAGAAGGTCTCTATGTGTGGTAGAATGTGATTATCAGGTGAGCCTAGGTTTGAAAGTTACTAGCTTCGAGACCTTGGGCAAGTTACTTCCTTTCTCCTCTTTATAAGCCTCGGCTTCCTGTAATGGTAATAACAGCTCCTAACTCGTGGGCTCCTGAGAGGATCTAATGAGATGACTTAGGGCAGCGGTCCGAGAGGTCCGGAAGGTTGGCGACTGCTGATTTAGGGGAAACGATTGGCACCTCATCTGGCACTTAATAACTTAGCTGCTATTCTTTCAGGGCCAGGCACACAGCGAGCACTTGCTGAATGAATGAATCACCCTTGCTCATCTTTGGAAAACCTGAGGCCTATGGAGATGAAGCGACTTGGTCACATGGCGAAATGGTAGCGCTGAGATGGGAAATTAAGTGAGACAGTACCTGTGTGAGGACACGGTGAAGGGCAAAGCCTGCCAGGTGTTCTGTAACTGCCCTGCCCCCCTGATGCCTCTGTCCCTTCTATAACCAGGGCTGCCACTTCTGCTGCATGAGTGCCTCTGAGGCCCAGGGCTCAGTTACTCTTGAGGTAACCCAAACTCAACAGACCTCAAGCAGCCAATCCCAATAGAGGCCATTACTATTCTGAGTCATCTGTTAGGGACAGGCCTTAAGAACTGGGAAAAAGAGCCAGAAATCTGAAGAACCAGAGGCACCCAAGATAAAAACAAAGCTTATCATTTGTTTCTTCCTACCATGCTGAGAGTAAGGGAAGATGCTATTATCTCAAATGACAAGACAGGGTCCACAGAGGGCTAGACTCTTACATGGAAACGTGCTGACGTCATCTTTGAAAAGACTCTGGGTCTCGCCTGTCTTGGCCATAAAACGGGTGAGTGCCCGCTCCACGTCGCGTCTTTGGGATGCAGCCTTCTCCCGCAGGATCTGGTAGTCAGACACAGGCTCACGGTACGTCTGAAAAGAACAGCAAAGACACTATAGAGTAATCCCAACGGGTCATTCTGTCCTCCCTGAGGCCCAGCTTAGCTGTTTCTATATCCTTTTACTTATTTTTATTTTTTTAATATATTTTATTGATTTTTTACAGAGAGGAAGGGAGAGGGACAGAGAGTTAGAAACATCCATGAGAGAGAAACATTGATCAGCTGCCTCCTGCACACTCCCTACTGGGGATGTGCCCGCAACCAAGGTACATGCCCTTGATCGGAATCGAACCTGGGACCCTTCAGTCCGCAGGCCAATGCTCTATCCACTGAGCCAAACCAGCTAGGGCCAAAACATTTTAAATTGTGATGCTATAGGTGACATTGTAACAATGACCAAAAAAGTAATTAACTACTCTTTGTGGTACAGAGATGGGATTTTTTTTTAAATATATTTTATTGATTTTTTACAGAGAGGAAGGGAGAGGGACAGAGAGTTAGAAACATCCATGAGAGAGAAACATTGATCAGCTGCCTCCTGCACACCCCCTACTGGGGATGTGCCCGCAACCAAGGTACATGCCCTTGATCGGAATCGAACCTGGGACCCTTGAGTCCGCAGGCCGACACTCTATCCACTGAGCCAAACCAGTTAGGGCAGAGATGGGATTTTTGAAGGAGGTGCTTAAAAACGTTTCCACTGTTGTCAAGTTGTCAATGTTAATTCAAGGGTATGGCCTGCATACAGTTTCCATATCCACACTTAAACACAGAAACAAGATTTTCTGACATTTAAAATCATCCCAAAATGAAGAATTGGACTGGATTTTGAACATATTTGTTACAAACATTAAAAATGTAAGACCTTCCCATCATTTTTAAGAGAACTATTTGAGCCAAGCTGGCGTGGCTCAGTGGTTGAGCATCAATCTATGAACCTGGAGGTCATGGTTCAATTCCCAGTCTCATGCCTGGGTTGCGGGCTTGGTCCCCAGTAAGGCCATCCAGGAGGCAACCGATCAATGATTCTCTCTCATCACTTATTTTCTATCTCTCTCTCCCTCTCCCTTCCTTTCTGAAGTCAATAAAAATATATTTAAATAAAAAAGAGAGAGAGCACTGTTTGAGATTCAAAAAGTTGGAAATTGAATAGAAAATTTTAAACAAAATTATTCCAATAATTAGAAGATGCAAATTCATTTGTGATTGATTAAGTGGAGGCAACAATGCTACATATCTTTGTAATGTATCTTTTTCAACTAAGAGAGCTGCTAACGTATTAAAATAAGCTGATCTTAGAATAAGACCTCTAACGTACTATTCCACCAAGTATTACACCAAGATTTCAAAACCTAAAAGGCAGAGGCCATCACATGCTGCCACTAAAAAGGAGCAAAAAGGTTTCCTGAACCTTTAATAAGGTTCAGATTACCTATAATGCCCATTATTTTGGTGGAGTAGTCTATAATAATAAAAGCATAATATGCAAATCGACTGAACGACAGAACAGCAGAATGATCTCGGAGCCCTGGCCAGGTGGGCGGGGCCTCCCGCTGCAGAGCCATTGATCATGGAGCCCCATTATCGATCGCCCCACAGAGGGAGGCCCAGGCCACCGGCCAGTGATGCTGTGGCCGGTGTGCGGGGCCGGCCAGCGATCACCCCACAGAAGGAGGCCCAGGCCAGCCAAGCGATTGCACCCCATGTCTGTCGCCCACAGAGGGAGGTGACTGGTGTTGGGGGAGGAAGGGGCAGCGCCGCAGATGGCAAGCAGTGGCAGCAGCGAGGGTGGGGGGGCCCAGCTGCTGGCAGCAGGGGGAAGAAAAGCCCCAATAGGCCCTGATCGCCAGCCAGGCCTAAGGATCCTACCTGCGGGGTCCCGACTGTGAGAGGGCGCAGGCCGGGCTGAGGAGGACACCCCCCTCCCATGCACGAATTTCATGCACTGGGCCTCTAGTACATGATAATATTCATGTAAGTCAGCATGAATGTTTATTGAAGTATGTACTTAATATTTTTACTGTCAGAAATACACTATAAAAGAGTTAGAGACTGATGGGTTGAATTGTGTCCCAAGTGTATGGCCATACCACCCTGAGATTGGGCCCAATCTCTTCTGAATTGTGTCCCCTAAAAAAAAAATATGTTGAAGTCCTAACCCCCAGTATCTCAGCATATAATCTCATTTGGAAATAGGGTCATTGCAGAGGTGATGAGTTAAAAAGAGGTCATACAAGAGTAGAGTGGGACTCTGTTCCAATAGAACTAATGCCCTTGCAAGAAAATGGCCACGTGAAGACAGAGACACAGCTGTAACAGAGAACTGCAGTCCTGCGTCTACAAGCCAGGAGTGCCCACAAACCACCAGAAGCTAGGAAAGGCAAGGAAGGACTCTCCTACAGGTTTCAGAGAGAGCATGGCCCTGGCAACATCTTGAATCTGGCTACATGCCCTCCAGACTGTAAAGCAATACATTTCTGTTGTTCTAAGCCCCCTAGTATATGGCATTTTGTTACGGCGGCTCTGGGACACTAATACAGAGATCGCAGGTCACGGCCAGCAGCTGTAGTGCGAGGGTGGCTGACTACCTATTCCTTCCCCCAGTATCCTGAGGTGTGGAGAAATGTCTGGAGGACTCGCCCCGCCCGCCTGCATGATGCCATATTTGCACCAGCACCTGCTGTGGAGGCGGAGACAAAGGAAGCATGTGGGAGGGCCTCCAGGACTCCTCTGCACACGCACCCTTCCCCAGGCGGGCGAAACTGCTCCTCTGGCGAAGGAGAACACATCTAAACCATGGAAGACACCTCAGTCTGTGCTCATGCAGACCCAGAACTCAAGTTACGCTGACTTTCATTTCATGTTATCACCAAGTATGGTTTAAATAATCGTTTCCCCCTGGTTTCAAAAAGAACTCTTTTCTATGAAAAGTTTGGAAAACTCAGAAAAGCACACACAAAGCAACAAGAGTTACTGTGAATACTTTCTGGAGTGCCCGTCCCGCCTCCTCTCTAGGTGGTAGGGCCTTTCGCGTTTTGGCGGGACAGGCTTCAATTTCTTGTTAACTATGTTTTTGTGAGCCAACTGGAGGACATAATTCCCCTGTGCCAAATTGTTTATTAATAAGAAAAGACATTCTGAGTTCTGAGTCCACCTTTCATCAATAAGCTTTTGACCCAACAATCAGTAGAAACTGAGGATTTTGCAGCAGTCATAGCCCCCGTCACCTCCTCGACACTCACCGGGGTTTTGATGTAGGTGTGGGGGTCGGGGAACTCGGGAAAATGGCTGGGGATGTGCGGCGGGTGGGGTCGGTTCTGCCCCGCAGTGAGAGCTTTGGGGGTCACTGGCTGATTGGTCACTGGAGCTGCAACAGAGTCACAACTGGTTACTCTTCCACCCAAGGACTTGGGTCTCTACCCAAACCCTCCTTTCCTCAAAGTAAATGCTGTATCTCAATTTTCTGAACAACGGATACTTTGTACTTCTATTTTAAAAAGGCCTTGACGGACTTAAGGACCTCAGGTCACCCCCACATGCCCAGCCCTGCTGAATGACCTTGGGTGACATTCCCATCTACAACAATCTGTCTGCAAGCTTCTTAGGTAGGTGAGGGGTTTGCTGTGACAATGTTCACATCACAAAAGAGCACACTGAGGCTGCTGAGTGATCAAGGAGTTAGATGAGCTGTTAACTCTCTTTTCATAGAACCCAGATAACCAAGTCATACAGTACGCCAAGGTAGGCATGGGATTAAAAATGGCACCTTCGCTGCTACTTGAGAGGGAAGGTCTTCAAAAGATGTCAGCTAGAAAAAAGTGGTGGGAAAAAATCAAGTGAAGTCTCCCCAGGTCCTACCAGCCCACACTAGTTACTCCCAGCTCAGTTTATAGCAGTCAGTTTCCATCTAAGGCACGGGTCGTCTAATTGTGCCTTCGATAGAAACAAAGAGACAGAGTAAATATTTTAGGTTTTGCAAGCCATACAGTCTGTCACAACTGCTCAACTCGGCCATTATAGCACAAGGCATCAAAGGTAAGTACACATGGCTGTGTTCCAATAAAGCTTTATTTACAAAAACAGGTGGTGGGCCACATTAGGCCTACAGACCTTAGTTTACTGACTCTTGATCTAAGGAAGAACTAGAGCACTAGCATTTCTCAAGCAGCATCAACTGCCCTTCTAGGGCTAAAGCACAAGAATCACAGCAACATCTCAGAGGGTTTTCCTTTCTGGTGACTGAACGTCAGGTCCCAGTCCCATTGGCCCAAACAAAGGTGATGTTACAGGTAGCCCCAAATGATGGAAGGGAGCCTGCAATAAAGAAGCAGCTGAACAAACGGATCCCTGCCCTATTTAATTAATTCATTCCACAAGCATCAACTGAGAACTTACTGAGGACCTCAGTTCAAAGTCACTTACGGGCAGTAATGACCATCCTCTGGGACCGTTTTGCATAAGCAGGGAGAGTGTCCACGTTGAACCCTAAGAAACAGGAAAACAAAAGTCACTGCCCAGACCACCAGATACTGAACTTGGGAGAGGAACGTTGTGCTGAAATAGCTCAAACTCCCCACTCAAGCATTTGCTGCCAGAGAAGCTCCAGCAGATGCCCACCAGGGAGTTAGGAGGTCTCTTAAACGGGTTCAGAGGAACCCTCAGTTGGTAACCCCCTCGAGCTAAAAACCGACCAGAAGAACCATAAGGGAATTAAAAAACACTCAGCAGATGTGGCTCCCTCCTCTCTCTCCCATAACTCCAACTCAGCTGCACTGAAGAACTGGAAACGTGTGCACTCACCCATCTCAACAAGAGTGACCACAATATCTGACAGCGTGGGCTGGGTCCTGGCTGTGTGCTCACAGTAAGACTTGGCACTTCTCCCAATTTCTGAAATGTCTGGGAAAGAATCAAAGGCATAAAGTCTTATTCTCAGTTCCCTAAAAGGTAAGCAAAGAATTAACATATAAGCCAGCAACTCGACTCCTGGGTATATTCCCAAGCAAATTGTAAGCAGGAACATAAATAGATACTTGTACACCAATGTCCATAGTGGCATTATTCACAATAGCCTTAAGGTGGAAACAACCCAAGTGTCATCAAAAGATGAATGGATGAAAGTTAAAAATAATAATAAACCTTATTTAAAAAAAAAAAAAGATGAATGAACAAAATGTGGTCGATCCATACAAAGATTATTATTTAGCCATAAGAAAGGAATGAAGTAGCCCTGGCTGGTGTGGCTCAGTTGGTAGAGTGTTGTTCTGTGACCAAAAGGTCACCAGTTCGATTTCCAGTCAGGGCACATGCCTGTGTTGCATAACGGAGGCGGCCGATAGATGTTTCTCTCTCTCTCTCTCAAATCAACAAAACCTTAAATAAATTTAAAAAGAAAGGAAGTACTGATCCATGCTACAAAGATGAGCCTTGAAAACATTATGCTAAGTGAACTGAACCAGACACAAAAAGGCAAATGTTTTAAGATTCTACTTATATGACAGAAAAAAAAAATCCATAGAGCCAAAAAGTAGCTTAGAAGTTACCAGGGGCAGGGGGAAGAGGTGATTAAGGAGTTATCACTTACAGGTTTAGAGTTTCTGTTTGGAATAATGAAAAAGTTCTGGAAATGAATAGTGTTGATGGTTGTACAACATTGTGAATATATTTACTGTCACTGAATCGTACACTTAAAAATGGTTAAAATAATAAATTTTATGTTATGTATATCGTGCAACCAAAAAAAAGGGTCTTATTGTCTGTCTAAAGCTGAACCTCTGTTTAATAGTCATGCTTTAGTCCTTCCGAGAAAGGGGAAGGTATGAAGCGGACTCCATGAATGGGCTTCAAGGGGATGGGAGGTTCCATGAAACCTGAAATTGTGCTCAATTTTATATATATATATAAAAAAAAACACACACACACACACACACACACACACACACACACACACACCTTTTCTGGGAATGGTCCACAGAATTCATCAGATGTAAGGGATCCAAAAAGGTTCAGAAGATAAAAGCAAGTCGGAAAAGGTGTCTAACTGAAAACCTATCACCAACTTGCCATGCTACCCTGAGCAAGCCACTAATACTAGCCTCTACACAGAAAAACGGTGGGTAGCATCTGTTTACTGGGGGGGAATCTAATGGGAACTATTAGTCCATTCCTTTCAGACAAGGACAGAAGTTCTCAAAGCGTGGTCTGGGAATACCTAGACGACCCTATAAACCTTTCCAAAGTCCACAGGTCCAAAGTGTTTTCATATTCAATTTTTAAAAAAATATATATTTTTATTGATTTCAGAGAGGAAGGGAGAGGGAGAGAGAGCTAGAAACATCAATGAGAGAGAATCATTGATTGGCTGCCTCCTGCACGCCCCCTACTGGGGATTGAGCCCACAACCCCGGCATGTGCCCTTGACTGGAATCAAACCCAGGACCCTTCAGTCTGCAGGGCAATGCTCTATCCACTGAACCAAACCAGCTAGGGCTCATAATCAAATTAAGACATTTTTTTATTTTTCTACTCATTCTCTCAGGCAGTTTTCCAGAGGCTATCTGACCTGGGATGACATCATGGCTCTGATGGATAATGGATCATATGCTTGTTCACTCTCATGTTTTAAAATTTTCTGTTTTACTTTCTAATGTGGCAAAATATATACACGTATATATTTATATTTATATCTCCATCCCACTTATACACAACTCCACAGGGTCCTCAATATTTAAGAGTCCACAGAGGTTCTAAGATAAAAAAAAGTCCAAGATCACTGCTTTAGGAAAACATTTGGTATGTAAAAGTTCCAAATGTCAGAGAGCCATCTCACCTCGAACTTGCCCTTCCTGGGGCAGTCCACATCTAGTGACTGATCAAGACCAAAGTATAAAGGCAGGGCCCTTTTGCACCAGATGTGGAATACCTGATGGGCAATTATCATCCTAGAGCTCCCCACTGAAGTGGCCAAATTTTTGTTTGGCCTGCACTGCAGTTCAATTTAGTTCAATTTCTCCCTCTGCCTAAACCATTCTCTCACTGTCATCCATAGGTGTTGGTACCCCCATCCCTCATCCCATCCTAGTCCCCAAAAAGGCCCAAATAGGGAAATACATTGTATATGCAGAAAAGGCAGTATGAGACCATTCTAGGGTCCAAAATCTCCAGGCATTTACTTTTTTAAAAAAATATATTATTTTTATTGATTTCAGAGAGGAAGGGAGAGGGAGAGATAGAAACATCAATGATGAGAGAAAATCATTTATCTGCTGCCTCTTGCACGCCCCCCACTAGGGATGGAGCCCACAATTCTGGCATGTGTCCTCGATCACAATTGAACTCGGGACCTTTCAATCAGCAGGCTGACTCTCTATCCACTGAGCCAAACCAGCTAGGTAGGACTCAAGGCATTTCCTTCTAAAAGTGTTTTTTTCCCCATTCTATAAAACGTATTCACCCTTACCCTTTGTATCTTTGTATATAATACAGCATTGTATTATATTATGTGGTGGCATCTATTTTGTAGAAATTGATCCTAACTCTCCAATAAAATTATACGTTGAGTACAGAACATAAACAGCAATAATAGCACCTGCAAGTCATCAAGAGCTTACAATGTTCACTCAAGGCATTTCCTTTTAAAAGTGTTTTTTTCCCCCATTCTATAAAACGTATTCACCCTTACTCTTTGTATCTTTGTATATAATATAGCATTGTATTATATTATGTGGTGGCTTCTATTTTGTAGAAATTAATCCTAACTCTCCAATAAAATTATAAGTTGAGTACAGAACATAAACAGCAGTAATAGCACCTGCAAGTCATCAAGAGCTTACAATGTTCCCAGCATTGAATGATTTACATATGTGTCTCACTTATACTCACAATTCCATGAGGTGCAAATTATTATTCCACTTCACAAATAAGGAAATTAAGAGTCAGGAGGTCTAGCAACTTGCCCCAACTATTAAGTGGTAGAGTGATGACTTACACCAGGTCTATCTGATTCTAAAGCTTGTAAGTCACTTGACTGTTCTTTTTCTTAAACCCTCTCTAACACGATCACAGTGCAGGACACGGCACTGATGTGTGGTTGACCTGAAGAAGGCCTGTTGTTCCTATACTTACAGCTCTGTAGCATCTCTGTCAATGTTTCCACGGACGCTTTCTCAGCACTCTCAAACCCTGCCTCTGTCAGCAAGGAGCTCACCACCACTTGCAGGGTTCGCCTCCGGGCCAGATGGTAATTGTCAGCAGGGTTAGTGGACTGTTTACCTCCTGATCTCTGTGAATCAGCAGCCCAGAAAGAGAGAAGATTTTCATCCACTAAACAAGGATGCAATCGCATAGTTCACACATCGTCATGGCGAGCAAACATTCATTTGCTAAATACTTACTTACCAGTGCTTAACAAAATGTGATAGCAAAGTAAGTAATAACTGAGCAGCCAAGGGGCTCTAAATACGGAGACAGCCTTTCTGCTTCCCTAAAACGTAAACTTCTATTAACACAAATGGCTGTTTCTTACTTTCTGTTTTAGCAGATTATGAGGATATACAGCTGAAGAAACACGTATGATGAGACGGAATTTATTTCCAACTCTCAGGAAAAAAAAACATCTCTCTTGTTCCTCCCATCTGCACACCACTTCACTAACAAGGGAAATTAAAATAATAACATATGGTGCTGAGGAGAGGAGGGCAAAGGATAACAGCACCGGAAAGTAGGAAAGATAATATTTTGAAACAGGAATCCCTCCCAACTTTGGCTAGCCAATAAGAAGGCGGAAACGGCCTCTTCGGACCAATTAGGAGGTGTTCCGGGTTCCCAACCCCGAAACGAGCCAATCAGCACACGGGTCCACCAACTCCGGAGGCCGCCGCCAAGTCCCAAAGAGGGAGGGCAGGTACGGCCTGAAAAACCCTCCTCCATACGGAGCTCTTGGTGGGGCTGGATGTCTGGGAACGAGCCTGTTGCCCCGGCTAGGGGAAAGCTGCAGAATGCCCCGACTCTCTCAGCTTCAACCCCGCGCCTCCCGCCCTTACCGTTCCGGAGCTGCCAGCCCCCGCAGTGGCCATCGTGTCGGCCATCTTGCTCTGGCGTAACGTGCGCGAGCGCAGGGCAGGATGGGATTTGTAGTCGTCCGGCGGGGAGGGGCGGGGCGGTGCTCGCACCTCTGGGTTTTCCAAAGCCCAACCGAGGTGGGGGGAGGTGGGGTTCTGAGGACCCGGCTCACGTGACCTACACTGAGCGACGGGTTGCTGTGAGCCTCGAAATTGGCCCGGAAAATGCGCCCTCGCTTGCACACCTCTTTCCCCATGAACTCGTTTCTCATAAAGAGCACACCCCTAGAACGCCCCAAACGTGGCTGTTAGCAACACCTGGCTAGGTCCCGCCCAGTGCCAGTGACTCACTGTCTGCGGGAGGGGCCCGAGACTACGAGTTGTTAACCTCTCCAGGTGATTCTTCTGCAGCGGGAAATTTGGGGAAATTTAATGTTGTGCTGCGGGTCTACAGCCCGCCAATGGCCCACTTGCAGCCTAGTCCAGGTCTTCCATTGCACCCTGCTGTCCTCAATCCGCCGGTGGTTGCCGGGCCAGCCGGGAGGCGCAGAAAGCAAGAGGCTCTGTCCCTTGCCCGCCTCACTCCCAGGGCCGGCGGTGCCTGTGGGTTTTCTGTGCACTTGCTCGCCAGCCCCTCCGGATGGGGGTTCTTCTTGCGGGGCCCGCATTGCACCTTATTCTTCTCCGTTTGCAGGTCCCTGGCAGGACGCAGACGCTGGGTTTGAATTCTAATATCGCTAGCTGTGGGACCACGGGCACATGCCCTAACCTCACTGTGCCTCAGTTTCCTCTTTTCCTCTTTTGTGAAACGGGTGTGATTGATAGCGGGGGGAGGGGAGGGAACAAGCGAATGCAAACAGGGTCTATCGCGGTGCTAGACGTAGAGTAAGAGGTCAAGGAACATCGCCTACTGTTGTTGTTTATTCCCAGGGTAGCACGTGATGGAGTGGCGAATGCCCTGAAGACAGAAGTCTGGAAACGCACCTTCCCGACCACAAGCACCTGAGCCTGGGGGTCGCCGCCACCCCCTCACCCCGGGCACACGGACGAGGTCTCAGGCCCTAACCTTAGCTGCGCAGAGCACCCAGCCCCCTTGGTCTCCCCCGCCCCCTCTCCCCCACTTCCTGCCCAGCTTTCAACTCGCGATCCGCGGCTCGGCTAGGACTTTGTAAACACACCGCGCCTGCGGGGGCGGAGACTCATTTTATTTGGGCTCCGGAGCGAGTGGTTCTCGCCCCTCCCCGCGGCTGAAGGCTGCGACCCCACCCCTCAACTCCCCAAGACTGAAGCCGGAGGCTGCGGGGAGCGTCTTCGTCCACAATAGATGCTCCGGGGGGCTCACCTGCCAAGGAGGTAGGCTTGAAGGCTGGAGAAGCCAAGATAATGGGGGTTCAGCACCCCCCTTGCTGGGACCTCCAAGCTCAGGCTGGACTCCCGGAGCCGGGGGTGGGAGGTGGGTGGGTTGAGGAGGTCACCGTGCTCTCGTCACCTCCTGGTTGTCCCCCAGAGCTCGGCTCGCTTTCTTAGTGGAGGGCAGAGAAGCCTCCCCACCCCCCCCCCTAGTGCCCTGTCTGTCCACACAGCCCCCTTCCACGCTGATCTGGAAGCCCAGTGGGCTGTTGTTCTTCATAATCAGGGATAGAGGTGGGAGGCGAGTAGGAGGGCAGAACCAGTGTGGGCAGGCAGCCTCGGGGTCCTCCTGCCAGCCAGGCTGAGGGAGGAAGCCAGAGGACAGGACTGGGAGGAAGAACCCCTCAGTGCTCATCCTCTAGCATCTGATGGGTACACAAACCACGGCCTCAGCCTCTTCTGTGTCAAGAGGAATAACTGAAGAGAGCGGTTGGTGTTTGTAAGGGAACATTAATGTATTCGTTTCCAAACATTGGTTGAGCACCTACTATGTGTCTGGGATTGTATTGGATGCTGAGAGTGCAATGGTGTTACTCACCTACAGTTAGTGTGCGTCATGAACAACAGCGATAAGGCATCAAGCTGGGTGGCTGGGAAGGCTTCAGAGAGAAGAGGACATTAGAGTTGGGTTCTGAGAGAAGAATTGGAGTCTCTGGGGCACTTATTCATTCTAGAGTTGTACTGAACTCTGATTGTGGTGGTGTGCATTGGGATAATGGGGACCCAGATTTAACCCCCTATCTAGGTGTGCAAAAGAGGTGGTTATAAACAGGATGAATTCAGGGAGAGGCCTGGTCCCCCCAAACCCAGAGCTTCTTAGCTACGCACAGCTGGGAGGGTTCACCTGGGGGTGATGTGACAATCCACACAGTCTTGGGGCATCCATTCCTCAGCCCTGGACTCTAGGACTGTTTCCTTTAACAAATCCTTGCTTTATGCCCCTCACCCCAATTCTCTTTGAGTGAAGAGAACCGGCTCTCCCGTGGCATTTCTTTCTGCTCCTTCAATTCCCAGGCTCCTTTGGGAGATGACTGACAATTTCCAAATCCATTCAACACTTGTCTGCTGTGGCCCTACTCTCTGTTAGGCTGGATGTTGAGGACTTAGTGACAAACAAGTCAGAGCGTCCACCCTCCTGGCCTTTAGAATCAAAAGCATCTCTGAGACTTCCAGCTGGATCCCAGTCTAAGCCCAGTCCTTGAGACCATGACCTCCATGGTCCCAAACACCTTCTCTCTCCTGTTTTCCTTCCCCCAAGGGCTCAGAATACTAGCTCACACTTACATAGCTCTGTCAGGTACTCTTCTAAATGTCTTAGGTGTAACGTCTTATGTAATTCTCCAAACAGGCCTATAAGGTAAGTACTTGGAGGAGACTCAGGCAAAGAGGAAAGAAGTAATATTCCTAAAGAGGACCCCAGAAGGAAATGGCAGGGCTGGGATTTAAACCTAGGACCTTTGACTGGGAAGGCCCTGTTCCTAACCAGTAGGCAAACCTGCCTCCTTGACTGACCACACAGAGGGTGGAGCCAGGGGCCTAGGAGTGTCCAGAAGGGACTCCATGGCCCTGTACCGTGGGTGATACAGAGGAGAGTAATCTCTTAGCTGAGCATGTGTGCTGATACCTTTACAGGGAGCCCCAGCAGGTCTAGAGTAGGGTTGGTAGGGTTGGGGTGACTGCACAGAGCTGGCATCCTGCATCCTGTCCTAATGGCTGTGTGTGTGTGTGTGTGTGTGTGTGTTCCCTCAGCCCTAGTCACCAAGAGGAACAGACCAGGGTTTGATGTAAGAAAGAACTCAACATGGATGTGATGTGCCAGAATCTCGGAGGTGGGAAACCAAGACACCTCTTTTGTTGGGAATCTTTAAGAATAGCAGAGAGCCCTAGCTGGTTTGGCTCAGTGGATAGAGCGTTGGCCTGCGGACTGAAGGGTCCCGGGTTCGATTCCAGTCAAGGGCATATGCCCAGGTTGCTGGCTTGATCCCCAGTAGGGGGCGTGCAGGAGGCAGCCGATCAATGATTCTCTCTCATCATGGATGTTTCTAGCTCTCTCTCCCTCTCCCTTCCTCTCTGAAATCAATAAAAAATATATTTTAAAAAAAAAAGAAAGAATAGCAGAGACCCTCACATTCTAGATTCCAGAAGGAACACCCTTCTTGGTAGCTGACTAAGGAAGCTGGTCAAGGAGTGGAAGCAGTCTTTTTTTTTTTTTTTTTAAATTATTTTATTGATTTTTTACAGAGAGGAAGGGAGAGGGATAGAGAGTTAGAAACATCCATCAGCTGCCTCCTGCACACCCCCTACTGGGGATGTGCCCGCAACCAAGGTACATGCCCTTGACCGGAATCGAACCTGGGACTCTTCAGTCCACAGGCCGACGCTCTAGCCACTGAGCCAAACTGGTCAGGGCATGGAAGCAGTCTTAGGATGGCTCACCTCCTCCCCACAGCTGCTGCATCCCAAAGCTGCCTTGGTGGATCTGACCCCACACTTCTAGGCGGGCAGGGACAGTGGCCCTTATAAAAACCAGGCCACAGGACAGCGGTTCCATGGATTCCAGCCATTTTCCCATTACCTTTCTGAAACTAGGTTTCTCACAAGAGCCCTCTGCATAGATCTGGGGACGCCCAGAGGCTGTGTTCTCTGCCTGTAGTCAGTCCACCCCCCATGTATCTTTGAGAGAGCGGTGTGTGTTGGGGGATGGTAACAGGTAAGGTGTGTGTTGGGGGATGGTAACAGGTAAGGAGAAAGTGGACGTTCAGCACTGTGCCGGCCTCCAGGCTGCTCTTCTGCCACTCATACCCCCCTTCCTCCTCCTCAGAGGCGGGTGCAGGGGAACCTTCGGGTGCCCCGGCCCCCTGCGCCAGGCACACTTCCGACTGGGGAGAGAGAACAGGTTGTACTCTTCAGAAACCACAAGAGGAAGTTTAGGGAGGGCTGGGGTGGGGAAAGTTCTGGGGCCCCTGCCAAGTTTCCCTTTCAGTGCCCAGCGGGTAGATGTGTTTATTTTGGTGTGTTTCTCTTGCCCTCAAAGACATTTAACTTTTAAACCGTCTGAGTTTTAAAGAGCTGTCGAGGCCTGCCCCATTTCCGCAGGAGGGTGTGGCCAGAGAGGCTGGAAATGGTATCAGAACGAGGTAACCTTTCTGGGGGCTTTCGCCTGGGATTCATGCTGCTGGGGAAAGGCTGCCTAACTCCAGAAAGTCTCCTCTTCTCCTTCTGCCCTTTCACCTTCCTCTTCCCCGAAGCACTCCCTGCAGCCCTGCATTCCTCAGAGGACTGTGGTTACTCGGCCACTTAGGAGGCGGGTGATGGCGCCAGAAGCTGTCCGAAATCTTTTGCCTGCCTAATCTCACTCACCACATCTTCAGGTTGTAAATACCCCTACTCCCAATTTACAGATGGGGAAAACAGGCTCAGAAAGGCTAGGAAACTGGCCCGAGGGTCCCCCAGCTAGTAGGGGCAGAGGTCTGATGTGAGCACTGGTCTCTGATTTCAAAGCCTGGGCTCTCGATGTCTCATTTAACCCCCACACAGAGCATCCGCTTCCCCAACATATCACTCCCTGAACAGCAGGGAAGCTGAGACCCAAAGATGTGTTTGAAAATGATGCTGATAGTGTGGAGAGAGGATGGCTTGGTACAGAATTGGAAGAAATTCCTTGGGAGTTAGTATATTATAGAAGAACAACTGAGCGGAAAAAAGAAGACGCAGTGGGTGAAAGGTTGAAGTCACACTCTGAAGGCCGAGCCCAATGGGGAGAATGCTTAGGAGGGATAGTATAGCTGTGTCCAAATATTGGAAATGTTGCCTGTGGAAGCCCCCAGGTAGGGGGACCAGTGGAGGCAGATTTCTAAAAAGCATAAGAACTTTCTAACAGATAATTGCCTAATTCCCTCCCGAAGAGGTCAGTTCCTCCTGTAAGAGAGTCTAGAGCACATGCTTTGGAGGGGCTTCTGCCGCAGAGGAGACCCTAAAAGCCCTTCCATCTCTAAACCTCCCGCATCATCCCTTCCCTGTCATCCTTCTCCTCCACGCTCCCTGGCCCTTGGTGTCTCATCCGTCCACCAGGTGGGGCTGTTGCCCAATGTGTCGCTCCAGAGGCAGCTGGACTGGGTGAAGAGCGCCACCTGGTCCTTCAGCCGCCATCTGGCTGGGTGGGGCCTCTGAGCCACCCCATCCCCAGCTATCTACATACCAAGGCACAGACTTTTGACCCATAAAATACCTCTTAGGTCTCCTCTGGGCTCAGGCTAGACCGGGCAGGCCTCTGCCCCTAGGGTAGGCTCTCTTCCCCAGGTTACGGATTCCCTCCCACCGACACTTTCTCTTTCCCCTCCTTGACCTTCTTTTGCCCTTGAATCAGAAAAATCCATATGTGGGTGCAATAGGCAAGGCCAGCAGCCCTCATGGGCATGGCAGGGTACCTAGTGTGGCATGGCTTTTCGGACCCTTCAAAGGCATGACGCCCATGTTATCTCCTTTAAGGGGCCTCAAAAGCCATACCTCTCTGAAACTATTTGTCCTCAGTGGTCTGACCAGTTCTCCTACCCTGGTAGAAATTCCCCCTGGACAGCCACGCCTAAGTGGGGGCAGCGGGGGTAGGAAGGAGGGGGAGGAGAGGTGTTGCTTGGTGCCTGTTTGTTGACTCAGATCTGCTTGTTGCTACCCAGGCCCTTAGGAAGGCATGGAGCCCCTGGGACCCCAGGGACCCAGCAGGCAGAGCCCAAGGTGAGCAGGGGATAGAGTGCATTTGTAAGCCCTGTGGCCACAGGACAACGTGGAGGGCAGGGCCAGAGAAAGAGGCCATAACTAGTAATTCCAAGCATGTAGTGACTCATGTACTCTCCCCAACAACCTTGTGAGGCAGGACACCCATTTTATAGATGAGCAAATGAAGGGTTAAGCAGCACGGAGGGTTAAGCAGCTCGCTTGCATTTACATAACTGGTCAGTGGCTGAGCTGGAAGTCTGACTCGGCCATTTGACTATAAAGTTTGTGCACATAACCGCTAATCTGTGCTTTTGCTCATGAATTGGTCAAGGGCGGCTGTACTCAGAGAAACTACCCTGATTTGAGTCCTAGCTACTTCCCTGAGTTTCTCATCTTTATTTTTTATTTTTTTTTATTTTTATATTTCTATTGATTTTTTACAGAGAGGAAGGGAGAGGGATAGAGAGTTAAAAACATCGATGAGAGAGAAACATCGTCCAGCTGCCTCCTGCACACTCCCCACTGGGGATGTGCCCACAACCAAGGTACATGCCCTTGACCAGAATCGAACCTGGGACCTTTCAGTCCGCAGGCTGATGCTTTATCCACTGAGCCAAACCAGTTAGGGCGAGTTTCTTATCTTTAAAGTGGGCATAATATAGCCCTTACCTCACTGGGTTATTATAAGGATTAACATTATAATGATTATTTTTCAACTATAGTTGATATACAATATTATATTAGTTTCAAGTGTATAACATAGAGATTAGACATTTATATAACTTACAGATAAGTTAGACTATCACCCTGGTAAGTTTAGTATCCATCTGACACCATATGTAGCTATTACAGTATTATTGACTATATTCCCTGTGCTGTACTTTACATCCCCGTGACTGTTCTTCATATCTGGCAGTTTGTACATCTTAATTCCTTTCCCTTTTTCACTCACCCCACACCCCCTTTCCAATTGGCAACCATCAATTTGTTCTCTGTACCTATAAGCTTGTTTCTGTATTATTTTGTTTTTTAGATTCTACATATAAGTGAGTCATACGATATATTGGCTTTCTCTGTTATTTAGCACAATACCCTCTAGATCCATCCATACTGTTGCAAATGGCAAGATTTCATTTCTATTTATGAGTGAGTCATATTCAACAATAGCTAATGTTCATTGCATACTCCTATGACAAGTGTGAGCTTTTTGTGTCCTCAAAACAGGTCTATGAGGGAGGCACTATTTAAAATATATATATACTAGAGGCCCCGTGCACAAAATTCGTGCACTGATAGGGTCCCTAGTGGCTGCTGGCTGCTGGCCAAGGCCTTCCTTCCTTCCGCACCACCCCCTGGTGGTCAGTGCACGTCATAGCAAACGATCGAATTCCTGGTTGGTCGAACTCCCGAGGGGACATTTTGCATATTAGGTTTTTATATATATAGACATTTTGATTGATTTCAGAGAGGAAGGGAGAGGGGGAGAGAGAGAGAGAAACATCAATGATGATAGAGTATCATTGGTCAGCTGCCTCCTGCATGCCCCACACTGAGATCGAGCCCGCAACCTGGGCATGTGCCCTGACCTAGAAGCGAACTGGCGACCTCCTGGTTTATGGGTCGATGTTCAACCACTGATCCACACCGGCTGGGCAGGAGGCACTATTATACCTTTATAGACAAGGAAACCGAGGCACAGAATGGTTTCATGGAGTCAGAGGCCAAGGCTTCAGAGCCCTCATGCTGCACTCGGCTCACGAGATAACACACACAGCCTGCTGCGTGCCAAGGAGGTCATAAGCCCTTAGAAGTGATGGCCTCAGTCATCATCGTATCATCGTCCTCGTCACCTCCTAGACTGAGCTCCTTGGGGTGGACAGGGGGCTACCCCCAAACCAAGAGACAGCTCTGTGTTCTTTCCTCGCCATCCCACCCATGACTTCATTTCACCCTTTTTCCTAAAATAAAAATCAGCCCACAAGTTCTGGCCTGTGGTCAGATAATTGGACAGAATGCCTGAAGTTGGGGCCGTCCCAGAAACTCCCAGTTCTGGCCCCAGCGTTGTCTGCTCCAGCTTACCCTCCCTCCGGTTCTCCCTTCTCTTCCCTCCAGGCCCGTCCTTCTGCCCCCTCCCTGGGGCCCCCCGAGTTCTGGGAAAGGAAGCCGAAGCAGGGCCTCAGACAGATGCAGCTCCAGCTTGGGCCCCAGCTGGAGGTGTTGGAGGCAGAGGGAGGAGGAGAGGACTGGCCAGGGGAGGAGAGGGAGGACGGGACAAAGAGGGCCCCCGGGCTGCCTGTCCCCATGGAAGCATCTGTCCCGTCTTCATAGACCCTTTCCTAAGCTCCCGCTTATTCAGCTCACTCTGCTGGGTGCTCTGGTGAGAATCCGCTCTGAGTAAGACCCGGGGGGAGGGCGGGGGGGGGGGCGCGTTTAATTCCTCTCTGGCAAGTGGACATTGCAAGCCGTCCTTGGATTATGGAGGAGAGGAGGGCTGTCCCTCCCAACACGAGGCCCCTGAGAGTCAAGGCTGCTTTTTCCTTTCCTTCCAGGCCCTTCCCTTTTCCCTGAGCAGTATCTGTTACAGAACCACAAGCTGGGAGAGTGTTCAGATGTGGAGTCTATTCTCATCACAGTGGGAGAGGATCTCAGGGTTACAGACTCTCGGATGGCCTGGGTGGCTGAGCACAGGCCGAGCCTCCCTGGCCCTGTCTTTTTTCCTTCCAGTCAGCTGGTGCCTGCTGGTCCTTGGGGCAGCCTCCATCTGTTCTTGGAATGGACTTAACTTCCACCTCCAAGGCCGGGCTGTTTTACTTTCAGGTCTCTTGGTCTCCAAGGAAACGGAGTCTTTCCCTGCTCGGGCCCAGCCTCTTGAGTTCTAACCCAAACCTCCCTGTACAACCGCTAGGCGTGAGCTTGGTGCCTCCTGGGTGGTCCTCAGAAAGTCTTGCTTCTCCCGGCTCCTTCCAGGCCTTCCCTCTGACACAGTTTCTGGGAGTCCTTTTTGGTATGCTTTGTAGGAATCGATGATGTGGATTTCTCTAATCCTCATTTCTTCCTGGCCCAATGGCAGGGAAGATGTTGGGGATAATAATAGCATATCTTCGCACAATACTTTCCCATGCCAGGGCCTGTCGTAAGTACTATATATGCCATTTGTAAAGAAGTAAGTTTATAATAAATATGACATTTATTAACTCATTCCTCACTTATTCCTCATAAGGATCCCATGTGGTTTCCTTAGTTTACAGATGAAGAACTGAGGCCCAAAGATTAAGGAACTTAACAGCTAGCCAGCCTGGAGAGCCTGGTGGCTGAATGAACTCTGACCTGCCTTTCCATGCACATGGTGTCTGCGTGTGTCTGTGCACGCGTGTGTATGTGTCCACCCACCAGGGGAAGTGTGAGACGACAAGTTTTAAGACCACGTCAGGATAGGTAGAGCAGGCTGGGAGGCCTCTGTGTGTGATGGTGGGTCTGTGTATGACAGTGATGGCGAACCTATGACACCCGTGTCAGAGGTGACACGCGAACTCATTTTTTTGGTTGATTTTTCTTTGTTAAATGGCATTTAAATACATAAAATAAATATCAAAAATATAAGTCTTTGTTTTACTATGGTTGCAAATATCAAAAAATTTCTATATGTGACACGGCACCAGAGTTAAGTTAGGGTTTTTCAAAATGCTGACACGCCGAGCTCAAAAGGTTCGTCATCACTGGTGTATGACCTGCATGTCTGTGTGGAGGTGAGATGTTGTGGATCAAGTCCCCCAGGCAAGCCCAGAGCCTCGCCCGTCCCTCTGTGCTCCTGGCCAGAGCTTCAGGGTTGTCCACTAAGCAAAACAAGATGGAAGGGAAGGAGCAAGGATGGCCCAGCCCTGCCCCTGCCGGCAGGTCAGGTGTCCCACAGGACCCAGGAAACAGGAGTGGGTGGTGGCGAAGTGAGCTCTGCTAGGTGGGGCTGGGGCCCTAACCCATCTGAGGAGCCCTGGATGAATCAGCCCGACCACAGCCGCCCCAACTGCAGCGATGGTGAAAACAAGCTCTTCGTCCAGCTCCCCCTCCAACACTCATTTTCCTTTCTTTTCTCTCCCCAGACTCAGGCTTTGGCAGGGTGTGGCACCCGGGCAGTGGCTGAGGGGAAACACCTCTGGATTTGGTGGTTAAGCTGGGTCCTAATGCTAGAACTGCAACCTTGATCTTCAAGATACTCCACCCAGCAATGGGCAGTAGCCCTGGCCCGGGGTGGATGTCACATACTCTGTCCAGGAGACAGGATTGCATATGTCCAGGGCTCCTGGGCTCACCCACCTGGCATTTCCCTCCAACAATACCTGTAGGTCTCAGGATCGTCCAGTCTTGTACAGTAGAGCCACATTTTATAGTGTAGGGTTCAAAGTCAGTGTAAAAACAAAACACATAAAGGTTACCATTAAAGTACCTTTAAGCTGCTCCTAAAACACAGTGCACCTACTTTGTGCATTCTCTCCTGTCCCTCAGCATCTCTAGCATAGCCAGATCTCATTGGAACACATGGCTGAGTCTGGAACTAAATTATGTTGAGCTTGGGGTAAGGGACCACAGTGTATAAACAATACGTAGGTTTCTGTGGTTGGCTGCTGTCTTCTCCGGTAGATACCCTTGAATTCGTGGTAGTTAATGTGCACATTTAGGAATTCAGTAAGTACTTGCTTATGGGCTCCCTGAGCCACAAGAAAGGGTGGAGTGACAGTGCTGTGGGAATCTGGAGGAAGGAGCAGTTGCTTTTGGATGGGTTAACCAGGAATTTCTTTCTCAGAGGTACCCTGTGAGAAAACAGGAGGCGTGGGCTTGATGAGAAATTCAGTTTTAAATGGTGGTTGCTTTTGTACGTTTTTACTTTTCTGAATATGTGAGTTTTTTACTGAAAAGCCATACTGTAGAAATCATTATTTTCTATTCTTATTTCTATGGCAATCATTAGGCCAACTTATTCTTTATTATGACTGGTTCTTTCTAAAATAATTAGCGGCTTTTTCTAAAATCATTATTGTTTCTGTAACAATAATTGTTCTTAATGTGACCACTTCTTGTTTCTTTAATGCTTTAAAAACTCCAGCAGCACACTGGTGCAGGAATGTAAGACATGAGTCAAGGTGAAATTTTGAGGGTGGGGGTGTGTCAGAGCCCCTGAATCTGCTTAAACCAATGTGTTCAATCTAAGGCAGTAGTCATCAAACTTTATGGTCTCAGAAACACGTTACATCCTTAAAAATGGTATTATTGAGGATCCCAGAGAGCTTTTGCTTTGCCGCAGGAATGTAAGACATGGGTCAAGGTAAAAATGTTGAGGGTGGGTGCGTGTCAGAGCCCCTGAGTCTGCTTAAACCAATGTGTTCAATCTAAGGCAGTAGTCATCAAACTTAATGGTCTCAGAAACACTTCACATCCTTAATAATGTTATTATTGAGGATCCCAGAGAGCTTTTGCTTTGCAGGTTGTAGCTGTTGACATTTAATTTCTATTAAAAATTTTAAAATGAGAAGTTTAAAAAATATTTGTTAATTCATTTAAAGTAACAAGAAGAAACTCATTTCCTGTTAACGTAGCATCGTGTTTTTTTCAGATGATCATATTCTTTATAAAGTTATAACTGTATGTCCCAAAGTGAAAGAAATTAATGAGAAGTGTAGCCTTGTTTTACATTTTTGCAAATCTCTTTCATGTGTGGCTTAACGGGAGACAGCTGGATTACCAGTTCTGCTTCTCCTCCAGTCTGTCCTGGTGTGTTGTTTTAGTCGATGTATATGAAGACAGATACGCAGTTGGAAAGGGAGAACCTTGCCAACTGTTCTAGAGGGTAGCTGGCCTAGAGGGACATTTAGCTGGAAAGAAATTGTTGGACGATGGTGAAGAAGCTGAATCAACAGTATTGGATTGGGGAGCTTGGACTTTATTTAGTAGGTAATGGGGAGCCATTGAAGGCTTTTGAGAAAGGAGGTGACATGAGAACTGTTTTAAGATGATTTCTAGGGCATTAGTAGAAAAATAGAATTGGCTAGAGCCGTGGTCGGCAAACTGCGGCTCGAGAGCCACATGCGGCTCTTTGGCCCCTTGAGTGTGGCTCTTCCTAAGCCTTAGGAGTACCCTAATTAAGTTAATAACAATGTACCTACCTATATAGTTTAAGTTTAAAAAATTTGGCTCTCAAAAGAAATTTCAGTTGTTGTACTGTTGATATTTGGCTCTGTTGACTAATGAGTTTGCTGACCACCGCTAGAGCATCTACACCAGTGGTTCCCAATCTTTTTTGGCCATGCCCCACCTAAGCATCTCTAAAATGCCCCCCCCCATGACATATAATTCTTATTATTCAAAAAGTGAACTCCTATTCATGTGGAGGAAGCCTAAAAGGCCATTAACTTGGTCTAAACAAGCTTCCAAAGAACATGGCATCCATGAAAGAGAAAAATAAAAGAACCAAGGACATTTGAAGTACTGAAGAAGAAATCACTAAGAAATTGTTAAAAAAAATAATAATATGAAGTGATATGAAAAAATAGCAAATAAAGTTTCAAAACATATAATAGAGAACTCAAATGCATAAATATGTCACAATATATGTTTATATACTGTACATGAGGCCACTAGAACCATAAGAAATGCAAAAAATTCACTGTTAACTCATTCTCAAATTGCCCCCCTTAAAAATCAAACTGCCCCCGAGTGGGGCGTGTGCCCCGCATTGGGAACCACTGTCTACACAACTATAAAAAGGACTGAAACTAGGGTGATACCAGTAGAAATGGAAATGAGGGGTGATTTGGCAAAATATTTTGAAGGTAGAAAGCAACAGAACTTAGTAATGATTTGGTAGGAAGGTATGAAGAAGCATCTGCTCTGTGAAATTGCTCTTCCCTCCCTCTGTTAGGCACCATGCATTCTTCATAGATGAAGTATGTGGCCACATGTTGTAGTTGGCTGCTTGCATGTCTTCTCTCCTACTGGGCGACAGTGGGTGCTCAGTAAATGAATGAATGACGGTAATCAAGAATTACGACCCCAGGATATTTCAGCCTGCGTAGCTGGTAGAATATTGGCGCCATTAACAGGAATTCAAAGACCAGGAGGAAAAGATATCCGTTATCATTAAGTATCATTAAATAAAGGATAGGAGGAGATGTCAAACTGTGAATGAGGAGAAAATAGTGGGTGGACCTTCAAATATACTGTTCTCTTGGCAAAGAATTACATTTTTCTAGATGCTAAAGATTTGGACAGAAATATGAAAAACATCTAGGAGGGATCAGAGATTATCTGCTCTTTATTCCCAAGTAACTCAAGTTCAATTAGGGCTGTTTTTCCAAACTAGAAATGTTATTTTATTTTAACCCATTTTACACACACGCACGCGCGTGTGTGTATGTGTGTGTGTACATATATACCAGAGGCCCGATGCATGAAATTCATGCACGGATGGGATCCCTAGGCCTGGCTGGTGATCAGGGTCGACCAGGGCCCAAAGGCCCTGGCAGGGTCGGGAGAGGAGGCGATGGTTGCAGGGCCGGGTGTGGAAGGAACGGATGCCAAATGCCAATGCCGCCCTCGGTGCCCCACCACCATGCAGTTCCCCGCCTCCCCCTCTCCTCCTTTCCTCATCGCCAGCCACTACCGCCACCACGGGGGCCTGCTGGCCAGGGGAGGGATCACAGGAGGTTTGCCGGCTGTGGGGAGTGGCTGCAGGAGGTTGACCACCGGCCCTGAGGAAGGAGCCAGCCCTCGGCCCCCCTGGGAAAGGGGCCACATTCTCTGCCACCCACCCCCGGTTCCCCATCCCAGCCCAGGGGGGTTGGGAGAGGAGGCGACAGTCGCTGGGCCAGGCACAGAATCGGGGCCTGCCGGCCGGAGGGTAGGGGGTAGGGAGAGGGAGGAACTGCAGGAGGTTGGCCAGCCAGGGGAGGTTGGCTCGGTTCCCCATCCCAGCCTGGCGGGGTTGGGAGAGGAGGCGACAGTCGCTGGGCCAGGCACAGAATCGGGGCCTGCCGGCCGGAGGGTAGGGGGTAGGGAGAGGGAGGAACTGCAGGAGGTTGGCCAGCCAGGGGAGGTTGGCTGTGGGAGCACACTGATCACCAGGGGGCAGCTCCTGCATTGAGCGTCTGTCCCCTGGTGGTCAGTGTGCATGATAGTGACCGGTTGTTCCGGTTGTTCGGTCGTAACAGTCATTTAGGCTTTTATATATATAGATGTGTGTGTGTGTGTGTGTGTGTGTGTGTGTGTGTGTGTATCCTATATATTGAAGAGCTAATATGCTAATTAGACCAAACAGCGGAACAACGGTCCGGACATCCTTCCGGACGACTGTCCGGACAACCTTCCAGACGAAGCCAGGGCTGTGAGGGCCGGCCAAGGCAGCCAAGGCTGCAAGGAGCTGTGAGGGCTGGCCGGGGCTGCGAGGGCCGAGCCTCTTACATGAATATCGTGCATCGGGCCTCTAGTATAGATATAAAACAAGTTTCACTAAACAGAGCTTACCCTTAGTCCAGATGATGTACTTTGATATTTTTTTATCGTGTTGTTTCTTTTTTTAAAAATGGTGGTCATGATGAGCTTCATGACCCAGTAGAGTGTTCTGACTTACAATTTGGAAAACACTGAATTGGAGAGGTTTCAGTCTTCTCTAGCAACAGAATGGATTGTCCAGGGAATTTTTTGGAAGAAGGTTGGGAGCTCATAGACTCACCAGAAAGGCTACAAAACCAGGTTTGGAAATGGTCGGAAACTAACAAAGTGCTCGAGGGCTGGGCAGAGGGACCTGCAGGAGATGAGGAGATGACAGTAGCTGACCTGCTGCCCGTATCTGGCCAGGCATGATAGGAATGGAGGGACCGGCCTCTCCAGTTTTTATAATGCAGGTCAGGCAGGCTGGCTCCTGGATTTGCACTAGAGGGGAGGGAATCCCTGAAAGGAAGTAGCAGTGTCATTGGAAAGGGAATTGGTGCTCAGCATTGAAAAAAGAATAGTCTTCAAAAGGTAGGAGCCATAACGTAGGCACACAAAAGGCTACCTACCAGTGAATGGTGTCTTACACCAGAGTGGGTCTCAGTGGCCCTGCTGGTGGCTTGGTCGTGTGGTGAATTCTCCGTTCAGAAATCAGGTTGCCTGTAGGTATCAAAATCAAATGCCTCTAAAACATCCCGACCCTCTGCCTTGGTAATTCTACTTTCCAGGCTCAATCCTACTTTAAATAATTCTGAATGTAGAAAAGACTTTGTCCAGTGATTTTCATCCAAGTGTTATGTACAGTGACAAAAACTTGGAACAACTGAAATGCCTCACGGTAGAGCATGGTCAGGCAAAGTATAGTACAGTGACTCTTGAACAACACAGGTGTTCCGCGCACTGACCCCTCACACAGTCAAAAACCCATGCACAACTTTTGACTCCCCCAAAACGTAAACTACTAATAGCCTACTGCTGACCAGAAGCCTTACCAATGACGAACAGTCAGTTGACACACATTTTTATGTTACAAGCATTATGTACTATATCCTTACAACAAGGTAAGCTAGAGAAAAGAAAACGTTATTAAGAAAATCGTAAGGAAGAGAAAATACATGTACATGTGGAGTTCATTCTCCTGGGGACACAGCGGGTAACTAAGGTGGTGAGAGCAGGGAGCAGGATTGTATCCAGTATCTGCCTTCCCCAGCCCAGCAACAGAGAAGGAGGTGGAGTCTGGATTGAGCCCCAAGATAAGGAATATGCAGCAGCTGACAGGGGAGTATTTATTGAAAAATATCTGCGTATAAATATAAATGGACCCATGTTGTTCAAGGATTAACTCTATATCAAATGAAATATTAGATAGCTATTAAAAATGTCAGCTGCAAAAAATGTGATGTCACAAAAATTATTTCTATGGTAACATTAAGGAAAAAATTAGAATACAGAATTATACGTACAATGTATTTACAACTATATATTCACACACACACACACACACACACACACACACACACACAAATAGAGAAAAGACTGGAAGAAAACATACCAAAAATATTATCAGTGGTTGTTTTAGGGGGCAGTGAAACTATGGGTGAATTTTTTTCTACCTTTTTCCCCTTTTTCTAAATGTTCGGTTCTGCAAAAACATGAAAAATGCAAAACCAGTCATGAGTTGTATTTCCATAAGTGAATAGGAAATCATCTTATCATTTCCATAGCATCTCACTGGAGACAGTAAGTGCTAAGTACACTGTGTGACCACCTAGAAGAGAACCTGGTGTGGCCTGGGAGGTGGCGGCTGTCTGTGCCCTAAGTTCCCAATAAGCCAGGATCATGTGCCGGCCCTTTAAGTCCTGTGGCACCAATAAAACTGAAATGCAGGCAACTCTTGGGGTGACCAGCTCAGGTTATCATGGCGGTTGAGGGTGGGTCTTGACATTAGATGAC